GACAACTGGACGAGCTACTCCAGAGGTCAAAGATGGATGCTTAAGGGGCGAAGATGACCAGTTAATATTGGAATATCGGAAGAGGACGACGTCAAGGTTGGACGAGATATCCAAAAGGTTTAAGATGGTTGCGGCAATGATGTCTATGTCGGAGGTCGCTGAATACACCCGTGAAAAGATCAAAGGTGGTCGTACCAATGAAGTTCACGCGTTGAAGTTGACCAGACCCATCAACCGTTGATATGACCTTCCTTCCAGATGACCACAAAGTCTAACCAATCTTCTCTACTTTCGAGAGCTCATTGAAGTTCGAGAACGCCGACTCTTACGACGGGGCACAATCGAAATCTTCGGAGAAGGCGATGAAAGAACATATTGCTCGATAGTTAGCCGTAGCTAAAGATCATCTTCGTGAAGATAAGGCGAAGGAGGATATGGAATCAAATCAAGTAAAGTCCACTCAGACTGAGCTAAAGCGAGTCATGGAAGAGCTTGAGCAGTTGAAGGCGAAAGCATAAACATTATCCCAGACATTAAAGCAGCAACAAGTGTCACTCGATAGTGCCAAGGCCAAGGTGAAATTAACTCGAGAGGAGATCCTCGCCATCAACAGTGCTCCACCGTTGGACAAAGAAGTGGCTGAACAGTTGACGATGTTGAAGTCAAATTTGAAGGCCACTAAAGAGAAACTAGGAAGCTTGAACCCTTTTTCTTAGGCATGTTTGCTACTCTTTCGTTCATTTCTTCATGTAATAAGACTCAAAGTTATGGAATAGAATGATTTGTTTCTTTTCACTTCATGCAATCTCAATCATTAGCATTTGTTGCACTTCATTTCCTCGCCAAATCAATCAAAATTGACGAATATAATTAATGACTGAACTAATATCTAAGCTGCCTACGTACCTTTAAAAGGATCAAGTTATAATTTTATTCAAAGTATCATGAATATGAATATGTTTATGGGGGTGTCATGCACAGTTTATACTTATGCGGGCCTGGAGTGTCTATTCTTTAACTATTTTAGACAAAGTAGAGTATTAGGTTTAACCACATAACAACTTAATGGGAGAATTAAAGTTTAATCACATGCGAAGCTTTATGGTGATTACCTTTTATACTCATGCGGGTTAGGAGTTCTTTTTTTTGTTTTTTTTATTTATTTTTCATTATATATATATATATATACACACACACAAAGTACAACTATGCGTAGTAGCGCTTCAAGAATTTCCCATTGATAGGGCCAATCTTGACTCGATCTTCCGAAATCACCTTGTATGCGCCATTGGTGTAGACTTCCGTGACGACATATGGTCCATCCCATCTTGACACGAACTTGTTTCCAACACGATGAGTGATTATGATGGGTCTTCTCACAGTAAGTACCAGATCTCCTACTTGAAAAGAACGAACTCGGACCTTCTTATTAAACGACTTTGAAAGACGAGCTTGATAACACTCAAGTCTTTGTTGCGCTTCCAACCTCCTCTCATCAAGAGCTTCTAATTCCTGAAGGCGCAGACGTGAACATACATGTATAATGTGCTTTCATGTAAAATATAAAACTATAAAAATAATAATAAATATTATTTAGCTAATTAAGTATAATCGATATTAAAATGATAAACTAACAGCTCATTTGTCGAACTGTCAGGTAAATTATCATATTATAAGTAGATCATTTTGATCTTAGAGTTCATTTAAGTTCCAACATATTGGTTCTTACTTATAGTTTTGTATGCCATTACAATAAATAAAAGTCAGCGTCAGTTTTTATCGTATGTCGACCTTTTCTTAAATAAATTGGTTTTAGTCACGCATATTATATTTTGTTGTTTCGCATGTAAGTATTATAAATGAGTTTAAAATATTAGTTTTTGGGGACAACGAGTTGTCAAGTAATCAAACTCATATTAGTGTACAATGAGGTTCTTAATAATATATTATTTTTTAGATATTTTATGATTTAACAATTTACTTACGTAATATCACTATTTTATTTATTAATACACTTTAAAGTATAATATTTTCTAAAATAAATACAGCTTGTGCATCGCACGAGTTATGTACTAGTAATAACAACAACACCAACAACAACAATAATAATGATAAACCAAAGCTCAATTCATATTTAGACCATCTCCGGCCTCCGCTCTATTCTAGAGTAGAGTTTACTTTACTCTTGAGTAGAGTTAGCCAAAATTCAACTTTCATCTCCAGTCCTTCGCGTTATATTTTACGCTAAATCAAATATATTATTTTTTTATTCATTTTTATTTCAACTAAATTGGTATATATATATATGTATATTTAATTTTATAAAAAATGTTTATTACCCAAATAATAAAAACAAATATGTTTGAAAGGAGCAAGAATAAATTTTGGAAAAATGAGAAGGACAATCATAGCAGACATCACAAGCCAATAACACGTTTGGTTCTTTCAGTGAGTTTTTTCAAGATCTTGTCTAGTCTGGAAATGGTTTGGGAGACTACTAGAATAAAAAATGTATTATTCATGAGTTTCGTAGATTTTTAAGTCATCTTTAATTATGTTGATTTTATTTGTGTATTTTATAATTTATGTGTGTTGTAGGCTTTTGATGTTAATATTATGTTATTTTTTTGTGTAGTTTGTGATTTACATGTGTTGTAAACTTTTGATTTTAATGAAATCTACTTGTTTGATTGTGTTAAATTTTTATTCAAATGTTACCATTTTGATATTAAAAAACTGCAAAGTAAAAATTAAATACATAAAAAAAAAACACAAAATTATTTAACATAAATAATACATTACACAGTTATTTAGCATAAAAATATATTTACTAATATATATTATACAAAAATCTATTAAAAATATTACATTTTGCTAGTGTTGCACCATTTACTAATAATATCACTAAAATGCATTAAAAGAA